GATATCTTGAAAAACATAAAAATTTTCCATACAAAAACTTAATTTTCGACCGATCGTTCCTATGGTAGCTTTATGATATAGTTGTCCGATCTTAATAGAATAAATACTAATTAGTCAAGATAACTTTATAAACAAAAATGTTTTGCATACAAGAACCTACTTTTCGACCGATCGTTCCTATGGCAGCTATTTGATATAGTGGTCCGATCCAGCTGGTTTTGACATATGAACTGCGTGCAACAGAAAGAGGGACTTCTGCAAAGTTTCATAAAGATAGCTTTAAAACTGAGAGACTAGTTCGCATAGAAACAGACAGACGGACAGACGGACATGGCTATATCAACTCGGCTGTTGATACTGATCAAGAATATATATACTTTATGGGGTCGTAGATGTCTCCTTCTATGCATTACACATTTCACGACAAAATTATAATACCCTCTGCAAGGGTATAATAACAATATGTACGAAAATTATTTGTGCGTAAAGCGAAAAAGAAGAAGCTATTCAGATTAAAAAAAAAAACTCTAAAACAAATCAACGAGCTTTGCAGCCACAAGCATAACTAGTAAGAGGCTCTATAATGTAACGATTATAAGGGTCCGATCCGGTCGGTTCTGACATATGTACTGCCTGCAGTAGAAAGGCGGTCCTATGCAAGGTTTTAAGACGATAGCTTTAAAACAGAGACTAGATTGCATAGAAATTGTCAGACGACAGAATACAAATTTAAAATACCCTTTACGAGGGTATCAAAACTTAACAATCAGTTATGGTTGAATTTATGTTGTTTCTGAAAATGCAATTATATTCAAATCGAATGAAGTACTAGCTACAAAAAGATTTATAATATTGGAAATAAATATAAAGACAGCACACCAAAGCATCAACGATAGTGTGAGTGAAAAAGCAGCGCAGCCGTAGTGTAAGCTGCCTAAAATGCAGAGTGCATACGTGTGTATGTGTGTGATTTTGTGTATGCATGCGTGGCACGAAGCTAGAATGTTTTTGGTAGTAACTCAGCACGGTGTTCACGCAATCGCCTACACGGGCACTCCCGCCGAGAGCACTCTTTATTGCTTTAATATGACCAACGAATTGGTTTACTTCTGGGAAGGTGTGGAGCAGTCAAAAAAAAGTAAGAGTAATGTAGTCCGGAGTTTCCGAGAAATAGATACCAATACCAATGAAGCCAGCGCCAAACTGATGTTACAGAAATTATAGCTTTCTCCTATAAATACATATTTGAGGCACTATGCATGTCAAATCGATAAAAAGTTGTTGACAGTTTTTCTGCCGCGCCATTTCCCCTGTAAGTGCTTGCGTTAATTTTGTCAATCCGCGCGAGAGTAAGATTGCTGAGAGTGTCGGCCGATAGCCTAACGATCAGTGATTTTTTTTATTGTATGTTTATTTTGAATTCCTTACAGCTCAGAAATCTATGTATTAGACGTTAAATCTTGGTGACGTAGCTGCAAAGACATGAAGTCTCTGATTTGCTTTTACATGACTAAACAGTAATTGAGTAGATGGTTGCTGTTGCTATTGAAATTCGGAAAAGCTCGGGGTTTGCCAAGCTTTACATGCTAGAAGGCACAATGGCGAATTTCATGCGCTTACGCTACCGAAAGCTAAAAGGTATTATAGTGAACGGAAATAGCGCCGGCCATTATTTTCGAGAATATATACGAATATTCTTAACTATGTTAAAAAAACGGTTAAGAAACACAAAAGATATTAAAAAAAGCGTGTGGTTTTGGCAGGCCACGTACATATTTAGGTTACCTAGCGAAAAATGCAATTCTATAAACATGTGCATACATGCACACAAATAGAATTGAAATTGAAATTGTATAGTATCACCAAAGACAATATAGACACTAAGATGAGTAACGCCATACAAAAAAATGCTACAATGCAGCTTGATTTGCCGATAACTTGCCCCGTTTCCAAGTAATCGATAAAAATCGACATCGAAATCCTGTTTTTTGAGCAATTTTGGTAAATAATAAGAGCTAGAGTCACCAAACTTGACCTGTAGCTTCTATAATAGTATATATATATCAAGTATCTTTCATTTGATGGCTATCGCCACCTCCCCTCTACCACCAAAAAGCTATAAATCATGTTAGTAAGCCAACTTGAATTTCCTATCTAATTAAGCCACAATTTAAGTGCAATTGTCATTTTGAGAATACAGGAATATTTTATAGTACAATAAGATATACTACTGAAAATTTCATCAATATCAGTTAAGAAACACGATAGAAAATGTGAGTTGGCCTGCAACCACGTGCAGCAGCAAGCGCAAATTCCAAGAATTTCTATGTGCATGTACACACACACATTCATGCGCGTCTTCTTTGAATTCTATCAACATCATTGCAATTTCGATTGTATTGTTTTCTGTGCTGCTATTTTAATTTGTTTTTTTTTTCACAGAGAATCAGTTATTGGTGTGGCTGTTGAGTAGAGCGGCGGCAAATAGTGCAGCTTGTAGCGAGTTCGAACCCTGCCGAGGAAACTATTATTTTTATACCCTGAACCCATTAAAAATTGGTAAAAAGGGTATAATGTATTTGTGCAAATGTATGTTACAGGCAGTAGGAAGCATCTCCGACCCCATAACGTATATATATTCTTGATCAGCATCAATAGCCGAGGCGATTTAGCTATGTCCGTCTGTCTGCCCGTCTGTCCGTCCGTCTGTCCGTATGTATGAACGCAAGGATCTCAAACCTATAAGAGCTAGTGACTTGAAATTTTAGCTGTAAGCCTCCTAGTCCCAGCGCAGATCGAGTTTGTTTCCGATATTCGATAACTTGCCCCGTTTCCAAGTAATCGATAAAAATCGATATCGAAATCCTGTTTTTTGAGCAATTTTGGTTAATAATAAGAGCTAGAGTTACCAAACTTGACATGTAGCTTCTAGAATAATAAGTATATATATATCAAGTATCTTCCTTTTTTAGCTATCACCTGTTGGAAGAAGAGGGTTCAGGGTATCCCCTAGTCGGGAGCTCCCGACTAGAACCTCTTGTTTTTTTTTTTGCTGGTGTGGCTGTTGAGTAGAGGCGGCAGCAAGTAATGCGGTCAGTTGCGAGTTCGAGGTTGTAAGAGGTTCTAGTCGGGAGCTCCCGACTAGGGGATAGCCTAAGCACTCTTATTTCAACACCAAATGCAGCCGCGCTACGCGCTCGTTTTCTTGAGTAGTAATAAAGATAAATAAAAAAAAAGTTCTTTTGGCAGGGTTCGAACTCGCAACTGACCGCATTACTTGATGCCGCCTCTACTCAAGAGCCACACCAACCAAAACAAAAATAGTTTCCTCGGTAAGGTTCGAACTCGCTTCAAACTGCGATACTTGCCGCTGCCTCTACTCAACAGCCACACCAATAATAAAGTCTTAACTAGAAAAAACGAATGAGATTAGCAGCACAGAAAACAATACAATCGCAATTGCAATGCTCTTGATAGAATTCAAAGCCGACGCGTATGAATGTGTGTGTGTACATGTATAAAAAATTCTTGGAATTTGCGCTTGCTGTTGCTAACACGTGCCCACATAACTTTAGTGTGAAATTTTCGACAGTAGATCTTATTGTGCCATAGAATATTTGTGTAAAAGTAGTTTGCATATAAATTGTGGCTTAAATTAATGTGCTATACAAGTCGGATTATTAACTTGATTTATAGCTTTGAGGTGGTAGCGGGGAGGTGGCGATAGGTATAAAATAAAAGATACTTGATATATATATAAAATAATCTAGAAGCTACATGTCAAGTTTGGTGACTCTAGCTTTTATTATTTACCAAAATTCTTAACTACTATTAGAAAAAAAACATAGAAAAGAATTATATGATAATTTTGTGTCGCTTCCAATAATTAGAGTTGATACTATTGAGCGCGTTTTGTTTCAAAATTCTGAACAAAAAAATAAAAAAAGAATTAAAAGCGAACAGCGGGCGCAACAAAATTTAATACGTGGCAGGTTTTTATCGCTGAAAATATTTTATGTTGTCTTGGCGGCACTTAACCAAGCAGTTTGGTTCATGCCATTTGTTTAATTTAATATTTTTGAAAACCCAACGCAACAAATTAACAGTGCTGACTCTATGAGCAGATATGTCAATATTTTACGAACTTAGATCTGAAATTGGGCTATATGCGCTATGGTGACCGGTATCATATTCATGGTACGCTATAAACAAGGGAAGCGGCATCAAGCAGAAATCCGTACGGTACTCAAGGACCTGGGCATAGCCGAGGATGGCCCTGGTTTGAAATAGGAAGTAGTTAACATAAGTAAACAATAAGCGACTAAGCGACAAGAGCACTCTTACTTGTTACATTTAAATTGTCAGTTCAGGGTTCTGCTGTTATTACATTTCGTGCATTTTAAAATGGTTAGAAACCGCGGAAAGTATATAAAAAATTTTGGAGGTTCTTGTATAAGTTAACATAAGTAACCAATAAGGCACTAAATTGCGAACTGGTTGCTATAATAAAATGGATTACGATTACGGCTTTATACATATAATTTTCCTACAAAAAGTTTGATAAAGATACCGTTAAGCCAGGAAGATTGCAATGAAACACATAGACGGACAAGGATATATCGATTCGGGTGTTCGTTCTGATCAAGAATATCCATACATTGTGGGGTCGGACAAATGTTTCTACCCTCTACAAGCGTATAACTATTTGTGTTCTTTGACTTTCTTTTGGATATGCGCCAATCATACACGATGTACATAAGCTCTAAGATGTGTTTAAACATGTAGAAGTTTCCAAATGTATTCTTTGGTATTTTTGGGTTTATAATGGGGAAATATGTGGGCCCTATTATTTATGGAATTTTCGCAACTGTTGTCGGGCAAGTGCGAGTTTTTGTGTATTTCTACCACATATTACATATGCATTGTATATTAAATGAGTCTTCTGCATTTTTGAAGGTATAACGACAAGAGCTTTTTGAAATATACCAAGATTTACTTACCTATCATAGTTCCAACAATTAAAGCCACCCCACTGAAGAGGCCCAGCCTACAAAGTAAATAAAAAAATACAATTTTAATTTTGATTGAAGCATGTATTTATACTTTATACACATGAGTTTGACGACAAGTAATGTGTTTCTGTTGTATTTTAATTATTTAATATATACACTAGTCCCTGGCCTTGCCTTGGCAACCTCCCGAGAATCTTGAAGCCGAAAAAAAACTTTCGATTATTAAACCATTGATCGGCATTTTCTATCTAAAAGTATTGAATTTCGCAAAAACCTTATTAAATAAAATTTCACAAAGATGTCTGAAAATGAGTTTGAAGCCCATCCGATGACAAAAAAAGTTTCTAGTTTTGCGACAATTTTCCACATCGCTGAAAAAAGTATTCATTTAATTCTTATGTAGTCCTTTAAAGATAAGTTTGAGGCCTATGACTTAATAACTTAAAACATTGCCCTTATAACCTTCCACCCGCACTTATTATCCAAGAGGGAGGACTAAACGATATGTGTAAATCACGTCTTAAATGAATTTTCATAAGCAACTTGAAAATAATTATGAAACCAATCGGATGGTAACCAAATAACTTTCATATATCCATTTTTCGCCAATTTACAACAGTTGCGGGTGGAATTTCTAATATCGATGAAAAACATATTAATTAAATGCGTATGTAGGGCTTTGAATGTACGTTTAAAGCTGGTGGAACAAAACTTAAAGCTTCCCCCGGAGAATATTTGACCTGCATATTTTACCGAAAAAGCTTAAATTTTGCGCAAAGTGTTAAACACGTCACACATTAAATTTCATAAAGATACTTGGAAATGAATTTGAAGCTCCTCTGAAATTCATTAGAACAGACATTGAAAACAAGTAAAAGGCTCTAGTCGGGAGTTCCCGACTAGGTGATACCCTACACCCTCTTTTACCTACTTTAAATGCAGCTCGTGCCATGAGCTCGTTTGCCTTAGCAGTGATAGGAATTAATTGTAAAAAAATAAAAAGTTCAGTTAATTAGACTCGAACCCGTACTGCACTACTTGCTACCGCCCCTACTCGACAGCCAACAACAATATATTTTCAATAAAAAAAAACCAATTGAAATAGAAAAACAAAAACACAGCACCGAAAACAATACAATCGCAATTGCAATACTGTTTATAGAATTCAATAAAAACAGAAATTCTTGCAATTTACGCTAGCTGCCGCAAAAACCTGGCCTATTAATATATATATATAAACACACGTTTTCTTTAATAACGTATATGTTTCTTTGCCAATTTTGATTACATTTTCAGCAGTTGATCCTTTTGTGCGATAGAATATTCGTATATTCTCAAAAGGATTACATTCCAATTGTTTCGATATAGATTTTCATCGATTGCTTGAAAACGGGGCAAGTTATCGATTAATGGAAACAAACTCGTACTGCGCGGGCACCTGGTGGTCCTACGTTCAAAAGTCTCTAGTCCTAAGTCTCTAGCTTCTATAGTTTCTAATATCGGACAGACAGACAGACATGGCTAGATCGACGCGGGTATTGATGCTAACCAAGACTCACTGCTCTCAATGCTCTCTGATTAATTTCTTAAGACCACTTAAGTGTATGTGTGTGAATGTGTATGCATAAGAAACAATGCACACAAATTGAAGTGCCAGCGAGCGACAAGTGCTGTTCACCTGTTTTCGTTGACTGTTCACGCATTTGTGTCTTTTGCGGCCGAAAGCCCACCGCAAGCATGCCAAAGAAAACTAAAAAACTGCCCGCCGCCCAAATTTACGCACCAATTGATGAAAATATCTAACTCTCACGACATACCCTTGATCGGCTCATTCGCACAGATTTGTGTGTATGTGTGTGTGTTGGTATAGCTCGAAATTCAGAAATGCCAAAAACTTCAAATCTTATCAAATTTGCATTGGGTAGGCAGGCAGGCAACCTTCACGCACACAAACGCATAAATGCTTCTATCCATATAGAAAAGTGTGTAAGTGTGCGTGCTTGGGTACCCTTATCCTTACAACAAGCATGGAAAATTGCAATTTTGCACATGAACAGGCCAAACCCTTTTATAATTTCAAACTACTGATCCCAGGAAGCAAGTCGCAAAAATTTATATTTTTCAATTTTTGGTCTTTTCTTAGAATTCTTCGACAAGCCGACGGTGAATTACCCTTGCAGAAATATGACTTAGTTTATTTAATATATTAAGTAAAATAGGTCCCTACAGTAAACAAATAAATTAGAATATGAACTATAAATATTTCATTTGGGTCATTTAAGTTTTTTATTAAATAAAAATAAATCAGATTCTTTTCATTATGCCTGAGTCGACCAAGAAATACATGATAGAGCATTTGAATGTGTGCGCCTTTTCTGCCTGTGGTAGCACAAAAGGCACACAATAGAAGAAAAAATCTCTGGCTCGCGGACAAACGCCGTGATCTACTTGTGCGAACATCCACACAACACAAACATATGTATGTTTGTAGATCTCGGGGTCTTTTGAGAAGCTATGCAGGGAGAAAGAGATGCACACAAGGGCGCAAAGCAATGAGTAAGAGCGAGGCACACTCTGCACACGCATATGTATTTGGGCTGTAAGGATTTAAAACGAACATACAGATATTAAGAAATAGCATCAGCCGCAGCAACGTTGTGCGCTGAGCGAGATGCGTCTTCATACTGAACGTTCGGCTTTTGAGGCCGGCGATCGGCTGCCACTCTCAGCAGTCTTACTCTAACTGGTCACATTAAAATGGACGCACCCATGGGGCTCACTCGTTACGATTTATCGTGTTTCGATTATTCTGCTGTTTGACATATCTATGCATTGTATAGTTAGGGATGTAACTTTGTCAAATTTAATTGATATATCGATAGTAATCGAAGGAATACATAGATATTTCAATAAGCAAGCGATCACTTTTTGAAAGATTGTCAAACCGTGCGGCTGTGTCTAATAATTATAATAATTATTATTAGCAAAAGTCATGGCGCCAGACGAAATTCGTAGACTTGACGAAACTTGTGAAATTGATCAAATTCGTGGAAACGATTGTGCAATTACTAGCCAAGCGCCGAGTACCAACATCTTGCAACAAGGGAATGTCGGTGGGATGTCAACAATTCAAGCACCTGAACATACAGAAGAGTTGCAATATCTGCAACAAATGGAAGCACAATATTTGTCTCGTAAGCGTGTAGCGGATGTATAATTAAGTGTTTTGAAAACTGAGAACGAATAAACTGCACTAGCAGCAACGCCAATAGACCGCATCGACTTAACGCACATCGATGCATTGATGCGCTGGTTTTTGGGAGATGATGAATATGAATTGACTCACTGGATTCGTGATTTTGAAGACATCATGAATCCTTATGGCGTCTCCGATGCTGCTTAAAGTTTTTAAGCAGAAGTTGACGGCGTGGAATGTTGGATAGAGGTTGGAGGCTCGCAAAATCGGCAAGAACGAAAGTGCGCTGCAATGCTGTGATGTGTATTTTACAGCTCATTGAACGACTTGCGAGAATAGATAATAGCCTACGATAAGATAAAAAAATCGTTAATATCTGTGACAAGTCGGGGGAAGAACGTACATAGCTAAAGGAAAAGTGAGTGCAGTAGCCAATCAGCATCAAGAAGTCAGTGCGGCGCAATCTGTTAGATAGGAAAAAAGTTAGTAATTACCATTGATTAGGAGGACGACCAATCCCAATATGTGGAAAGTTTAAGTGTCTTATAGAGGTTGTCAAGAAGGCATATACAGTTTTGTTACATACCGTAGACGACAATTTACAACTTTTACCAGTTCTGTTGGGAAAAGATGCCCTCAAAATAATCGAAATGCAATTGGTTCATAGGAAAAACATTAATGCAAATTATCATACAACATTAAGTTAAATAAAGCATGAAGCTGCTTACTTTTTAAATAAAAATAATTTGTAATATAAGTCCATCTAATAATTCAAATAACTATAATTCTATTACCAATCACATAGTAGCGAGCTAAGCAATACTATTCTTTCTAATCATAAGAATAGCCTAATGGTTGATCAAATTAATAACGAATGTTGTCATCATGGAGATGGGTTAAGTAATTTTTGTGGAAGTATGGAAGTCGAAGAAACTGATCTCATTAATGTGGGATTAGTATTCGGCAGTTCGGTTGCAGAAAATTGCAAAGAGTTAATAAGAACCCATTATTTATGTAAAGAAATAAGAAGAAAGTTATTAGACATAGTGAGTCCCCTTACGCTGCCCCATTGGTCTTAGAAAAAGTCAGCGCATTTCGTATGTGCGATTACTATCGTGGTCTTAATAAGAGAATTATAAAAGACAACTTCCCGTTACGCCCTATTGAGGATTGTCTCGAATTTTAAGAAAATAAGGGTTGTTTCTCAATCAAATCGGTTCCATACCCTTCTTTTGTGACACCTCAAGCCCAGTATGACCAATTGAGAATGCCTTTTGGATTAAAAAATCGTTTAGCTATATTTCAAACTTACTTAGAGACTTAATTAGAGATAAAAGTATTGTAGTTTATATGTACGACATATCGTAGAGCAGCACAAAGAGATATTGAAAAGATTATTTATTTGCATGAGTGAGCACAATTTAGAAGTAAGTGTGCAGAAGTGTCTGTTTTTAAAACGAGATATTGACTTTTTAGGGTACAAATTCAATCGACGCAGAATAATGCCTAGAGATTCTCACATCGAATCTATTAAATATTACCCAGCTCCTCAAAATAGCGAATCCATTGGTACAACTTTTAAAAGAAGGTGGTCTGTTCCCCCTCAACAAACAGCAGCTAGAGACATTTAAAAAAAATACTAAAGAAATTCTCCAGTGTTAGCTATTTTCAGCCCAGATAGAGGAACAGAACTACATACAGACGCAAGTTCGAAGACAAGTCGATGGAAAGATGCACCCCGTATCCTATTATTGAATTGCAGACGTTAACCTTAATCTACGCATTGCTGCGGTTTAAAATAATTACTGATTGCAATTCACTAGTACAAACCCAAACCAG